GCTGAACAAACAAAAATGACAGGAGACCAGTGAGGGCTCTGAAGAGCAAATGATACAGACAGAATGGAGCTGCAAGGGACTGATCTAACTGGCAAAATTTAGCAACCTACAAGACTGCAGGCGAAAAGAAAAGAAAGGAAAAAAAAAAAGAAAAAAGAAGTGCTTCACAACCATGCTATTCCACCAGATGGTCAGGACAGTTAAGGAATCATCTACAGCAGCTCCACCTCTGGTAGAGACTCCAGAAAATTCTAAGAATCTGGGCAATCTCTGTCCTTTCTGCTCCACTGATACGGTCCCACAGAAGTTTTCACTCAAAATTCCTGTGCATTTTTAACACTACAAATTCAATTTTGCTTGCTTAAATTATCTGTTTCTTAACTGGATAAGAAACACAGTTAATCAAAGTAACCAAGTAATTAGACAAAAATCTCTTATGCAAGCTAAGTGCTCTCTTCTTTATTTTATGGCATTGAAAGACATTTCTTATGCATTATGTTCAGATTTCAGTATTTGGGGCATGACTGTGCTTTCTTATGACATACTTTCATTTGATTTATTTTATATTATCTTTGGGATCTGAAAGAATTAAGTAAACTATATAATATCACTACATTTACTACCCCAATTTCACAGCAGTTCAAAAACATGTAATTTGAGTATTTCTAAACGTTCCGTTTATTCTCATGCATTCATTATGAGTTATTCTTAGCTGCACACTGTGACTATAAAGAATCCGGTATCTTACAGATTCTAGTTAATAGATTCTACATGAGTTTGATTTGTTTTAAAACCTACTTATCCCTTAGCTATCTTTTAAGAAAAACCGTTTTGCCACTCAGTTTTCACAACATGCAATTTAACATTCAAATGCAGAACAGATGCAAAATCTCGTATTTCATAGCACCAATTCATAAGCAATCTCATAGATTCTAAATGGTGTAGTAGGAGTCAAAATGAAGACTTCTATCCTTACAGAACACCAAGTCGAAATAATATAAAAGACATTTGTCAGAGTTTAACACAATTTGTTCTTGTAAAATGCTTAGTAACTACACAGCATCTTTAACTGTTAGATTTATAAAAGAAAGTTGCTGTTATACAGCTACTGCAGCAATCCTCACAGCTACTAGTTCATGCAGGTACTTAAAAGCATACATTGAGCGGGACATGAAACTGAAGGGAGGTCC